TCAAACTGACCCAACAGTTCCCATGACCCGCAACCTCTCGCAATATTCATGATTGGACTATCATAGTAAGCCAATAACGTGAAGGAGATAAGATTCTAGACCATGGATTACAGGTCCCTCCCAAAGAACAAGTCCAGATCCCATTTCAGCAGTATGCTTTATGGATTCTTCCAACACAGTCCAGTTTTGTAGGGAGTCATCTCGTCTACACATGTACACGTTAAAAACACCCGTATCCAAAAGGGTTGCTTCCCGAACGGCTATCCAGTGTCAGTGTTTTAAAATAAGGGATGCGACCATAAGCATTAGGGGGGTCGATGCGGTCCGGATGCGGGTACATCGCGGCGATGCGGTCAATAAATATAAAAAATTCTAAAAATTCTAGAAACTAGGATAATGCATAGAAAAAAATATGGAGGTGATAGATGTGATAGTAGGTATTTAGATTATTCATTAACTCCAAAAGTATTAGTTGCCGGAGATTCTGTATCCATTATCCCCTGATAGAAACTAAAAACTTGAAACTAACTTCATAAAACATTCAACAATCAACAACCATAGGCACAAATCTACATCCAAAAACTTTAAAAGTTACATATTTTATAAATAATCTTGAAAGGAGTCCATGAAGTTCTTTGACTCGATTTGTATACTTTTTATAAACTTTATAAATTTATAAAAATGTAACTTTACGATATTAGAGCATGTTGTAGATCAATAAATGTTATAAACTCATTGATTTGTAACTTCACTGTATTAGTTCATGAAACTCTTTAAAGTTACAAACTTTATTTGAAAAGTACAGGGAAAAGTTCTTCGATTTGAAACTTTTAATCTTCATAGAATTTTAGCTTGTAGTATCTTGTATTACAAATTGAAGAACTTCAACAAATAAAATTCTGCTTAAAAGCCACGGATGTGGCTGAAAAATGTTGTTTGGGTGGTTTAATACCCCCCAAAACCCTTTCCCCCCATTTTCAAGGGTCAAATTGACCTTATAGACCTTGCTCGAGGGGTACAGTTTGGATAAAAATGGCGAACAGATTATGCGGACCGATGCGGGATACGGCTCTGATGCAGGCGCATCTCTCCAAACCGCATATGCGGGAAAGTGCGATGCGCCAGATGGCGCATAGCGCCTGATGCGGCCGCATTTTAAAACATTATCTATTGTACATGCCGTGTAATGGTAATGATGAGGATTTAAGCCCTTGTCCTCTCAAGCCATCCATCACGCATTGGGGTTAAATCCATGTCTCTTGGCCAACTATCCTGAGCACAACTCCGACCTCATCAAGGGATAACCCCACATCCAAACCGATAAGGGTTGTGTTCATACAAGCCCAGGACTACGGGTTTTGGACATCACATTGAGCCATAGCCAATCAAAGCTCAGGTGAGTCTAGGCATTAGAAATGCCTCACCCCACTGGAGCCAACATTTCACTATATGTTTTCAATACATGCTCTCATAAGGCCTTTAATTGGCCATATAACCTCAATAGTTCCAACTCCCAAGATTGCAAGTGCATTGTCCCTAGACAATCGCAAGTTTCTTATTCAAATAAAGAGATAATACAAGAAGCAGTGTTTTAAAATGCGAGATGCGGCCATATGTATTTGGGGAGCCGATGCGGAGATGTGGCTCGATACGGTCTGGATGCGGGTGCATCACTGCAATGCAATCAATAAATATAAAAAATTCTATAAAATCTAAAAGAAAGGTTAATGCATAAAAAAATATGGAGGTGATATATATGATAGTAGGTATTTAGTTTATTCATTAACTCCAAAAGTATTAGCTATCAGAGATTCTATATCCACTATCCCCTGATAGAAACTAGAAACTTGAAACTAGCTTTATAAAATATTCAACAATCAACAACCATAAGCACAAATTTGCAACCACAAACATTAAAGTTACAAAATACTACAAACTAAAAGACTACGAAGATTAAAGAGTTCAAAAGTCAAGCTCAAGAATAGTCAATACAATCATCATCATTTCTCAAGTCTTGAGAGTAAGATTCCAAATTTCAACTTTTAAATCCTAAACCCTCGATTTATTGTCACAAGTTCGCCTAAACTTCTTCAAATCAACACCCAAAAGATACAAATCAATAACCAAGAATCAACTAATACACAAATCGAAGAACTTCACATAATAAAATTTCTGCCAGTTTTGTTTAATTCATTCGATCCAAAAAGAGCCACGGAGTGGCTGAAAAATGATGTTTTGGGGGGGTGGTTCAAAAAGTCCTTAATACCCCTGCCCGAGGGGTTCATTTTTGTAAAAATTGGTACATCGCATATGCAGGATTATGCACCCTATGCGGGAAGCGGCTGCATATGCGGAGAGATGCGACGCATATACAAGCACATCTCTCTAGAGTGCATATGTGGCCATTTGCGATGCGCTGCCCAACGCATAATGCGTGATGTGGCTGCATATGCAGTGATGTGGCCACATTTTAAAACATTGACAAGAAGACAAGGTTTTTTTTTTTTTTGATAATGAGGAAGACATAAGGTTTATTTGAGAAGAGAGAAATCCAAGGTGTCATTACCATAGTAGATTGCAAGTGTTAAACTACAATAGAGAGATTATATAGGAAGAGATAAAGTTCATTACGTAAAAAAGAGAAATTTAATGTGCCATTACCTTTCACTATCAATACTTCTTAAAATCAAGTAAATGAAGAAATAGTGTGCATCCTCTTTTAAGAGGTTTTTAGATAAAATTTAGCTTTGAAAAGTTTTAGGAAGTAGTATATCTTTTTTCCTAGAGAAGCTGTCTTGAACTTCTTTTCCTTGAAAAGTCAAATGCCCTACATCCTCTCTAGAGATAGTGCCCCCCTTTATTCTTACAACATGTGTGCAACCCTTAACTGTGGCTTAATAATGCCATATAGATAAAGAGAACAAAATCTAAAATTGTTTGCTACAATTCCATTTTATATCGAGTAAGCCGAAATAATCCAAGACATGGTTGGTTGAACTCTATACCGCTAGTCAAAGTTCAAATTCTGGAAACAAAGAAGAGCATGAAGTTTATGTCAATGTAGTGAATGGTACGTGAACAAGATGAAGAATCTGTGTCAGCATGTGGGTCGATAAGTATCCGAGACAGGAATAGCACCCAAAGAAATATCCATGTAACGCTGTGTAGGGGTGTCATGGGATGCAACCAGCTCAAAAACCTGGTTTCTTTCTTGCCCATGAGTACAGGACTCAACCTACAATTTTAGTAATGGAATGCACCTGAAAATGATACCAAAGGCATACAATTGAAGGACTTGGACTCCGTAGGCATGTAACAAATTGAATGGAGTTCAAGAAGAGGTCAATTGGTGGAGCAGGGCCAGTATCTTCATAATAAATCCCAACAATAATCAATGGCCACGCCTCATAACAAAACGTTGTTAAGAATGTGGGGGTGAGTGGGTTAATATTTCTGTAATGTAGGTCATACAAGCACATTAATAATATTAATGTTTCAAATAGGGACAGTTTGGTAGGCAAGATCTTAAAATAAAATTGGAAACGATTGTGCATCGAGACATTGGTCCAGTATGTGTGGAAGTGATAGGGATCGCTTCAAGATCCAAGAATTATATGTTAAGAGGAGTGAGAGAGAGGTCCTCCCTATGGGTGTAGTTTGGGAAACGAGCCCAGGCAGACTTTTGTGCCTCACGACAAATATGATTTTATCTGTTGATCACTTAAATTGTCATGGTGGGATAATAAAACGGAGTTAAAGAAGAGGTCAATTGGAGGAGCAGGGCCTGCATTTTCACAGTAAATTTCCCAGCAACAATCAATAGCCTTATCTCATAGCAAAATGTTCTTGATAATGAAGAGGTGGACAGGTTGAATCAACATTTCCAAGCAGATCATACAAACTCATCAATGACACTAATGTTCCAAAAGGGGTAATCTGGAAGGAAGGTTACAATGGAAAGACGATGAATGAGTTTGCAAGTAGACAGTGGACAAGCATGTGTGGAAGTGATGGGGATCACTTCAAGATCCAAGCATTAGATGTTAAAGAGAGGTCTTCCCTATCGGTAAGCTGGGAGAAAATGAGCTCCAGCATAATTTTGTGACCTTCACCACAAGTAACATTTTAATTGTTGATCACTTGCAGCATCATAGTTTCCAAACCATCCAATATATTATTTGTTGGATTGCCCACAAATTTGGAATTAAAATAAATCCTCCACGTACTAGATAATCATCGATGTAATAGATAGGAGTGGTGCTCCAAGGATGGCAGACTCGGCTGGCAAGGGAAGGCTTATAGGTTATGGGATCTCTTAGACACCACAGATCTCAGTCTTTCTTACTATTTCAGTTTTTTGCGCTAAATTAGATTAATAAATTGGTAACTTAACAGAATAAGATATAAATAGTTTAATTATTCAAATTCTACGATCCTTTGCCTGTTATATTTATGGTCAAAAGAAAAAGGTCTAATAAAAAGGACATATGTTTATCGAAGGCATTTGAAAAGAACTATTGCTGGCAAGCTAGTTTCCATAATAGTTAAAATCATTTCATTTGCAAGTCATTAGGAATATGCCGAAAAATAGTTTATTTTCCATGGTGCATAAGAAAAAAATCCTAAATATATGTGCTGCATTATAATATTATGAGACTAGTCCAGCACATATAATTTGATGAATGCCTGAGCTTATGTCTATTTTTTTTAAACTGTGAACGTTCTATTTATAAAGAAGAGAGGTAGTACAGGGAGGGGTTAGATACCACCCACAAGACAGGGGTTCTAAACCAAAAAATAGGCTTATCCAAGAATGCCTGAGCTTATGTCCATCATATATTGTATGAAAATTCCTATTAGCCTATATAAAACAAATAAAATAAAGAAAATGGGAAATGTTAAATTTGTACGACCCTATAGAAAACAAATAGAACATGGAGAACAAGAAAAAATGCATATTCCATGAAAGCTATAGGTGATAGGCAAGAAACAGAACTCACTAGTATAAAATTTCAATTTCTTCGCAAGTTTGTCAACTTTTCTTTGATAGGCTTCCGTTTTAGCAGCACCATCAGGGCTGTCAGAAAATTAATCTCAGACAAGTAAAACAATAATAATGGGAATCAACAAGCCAGGATCAATTACGAACACGACAAATGGCAAAATAAACTAATAACAATTTTTCATGATATACACCAAATGGGTCAGAATCTCCACTATTCTGATTTAAACACAACTAAAGAACCTATACAGATAACCTCTGTGGAACGCCCTAAGATAAAGAAGTAACACACACAAAATGGAGTGCCTCCATACTCTGCAGAAGACAGCTTGAAATAAAAGAAAAGCACCTCTACATAGCTAGGAACATTCAAGACCATAACTTTTTTCTGTTCTTATTTTCTCCCTTTTTTTTTTTTTTTGAAATGTTGACATTCTATTGCTTTAAGTAAATGCAATGTACAAAAATTCAGCCGCCCGACCACCTAGGCCTATCTCTCAAACTGCCTAGGTGTGGCCTAGGCAGGCGGAGGGGGTGGGTGCAGGCGGACTTGTTTAAAGTGCCGGCAGAGGCGCCCAAGGCAGGTCTGGGTGCCAGCCTAGTTACACCTCCTTTTTTTTTTTTCTTGTATTTAGTGATAGAGAATCAGGTCTATGAAGAGAGTTTTTTATTTTCGTACTTCTATTCATTTATTTTAGAGAGAAAAGCTATCCTTTTTCAATAAAAGTATCCTTTCTTTAATTTTTGTCATTCTTACAAAAGTAAAGTATCCTCTTTCTTTTATTTAGTAGAATACCTTTCTTTAACTTTTCAAAGAGAGAGAGGGTACGGTTTTTAAAAAAGCACATGTGGCACATTTACACAATAACACATGCATATAGCCATGATATTAAATTTACTTTTTTTTTACAACCACACATTGCCTGGCATTAATATTAATTTTTTAAACAAATCAAAACCATAAAAAGGAGAGAATGCCCCTCCACCCCTCCCCCAAAAAAAATAAAAATAAACAAAAAAACTAGGGCCGCCCAAGTATCTAGGCAGCCGCCTCTGCCTTCTTGAACATTGAATAAATGATTACAAAATATTGTGGCAATCTGCAATATCGGTGCTCTCATCATAATGACCTTTACAGAAATGGGCGCCAATGAAGGCACACTATATATCATCAAAAGAAACACAGAAACTCAAAAAATCGGGACCCCGGCTCTCAAAGGTACCAAAATGGTTTCAGAAAGGTTGCCTGCTCTCACACCTTCTTAGGCCAGGACATCCACATTAGAGATGGCCTCTTGCAAAGAATGCCATATCGGGACCCAGCCTCACACTAGGCGGCTGCCTCCGCCTTCTTGAACATTGAGTAAATGATTACAAAATATAGTGGCACTCTGCCATATCGGTGCTCTCATCGTAATGACCTTTACAAAAATGGGTGCCAATGAAGGCATACTATAAATTGTCAAAAGAAATACAAAAACTCAAAAAATTGGGACCCTGGCTCTCAAAGGTACCAAAACGGTTCCAGAATAGTTTCCTGCTCTCACACCTTCTTTGGCAAGGACATCCGTACTAGAGATGGCCTCCTGCAAGTATGCTGAAAGTTGGTACAAGTAAGCTTGCATGGATAGGAAATTTGCTCAAAAATAAGTTCAAGTCACCACGGAAAAACTGAGACACCCGAGGCTCATATTATGACATTTTATAATCCGCTTCAATTATCAAACAACTCCCCCACATGTGATTGAATCACTTGACAACCTCAAGAAGGGTTTATGCTTTGGCCATGGTGGAAACATTGTAGCCAATGTTGCCTAAAAAGGAGAGGAGGGTGTTATGATTGTGGTCCCTAAAGAGACCATCAAAACAGGTAGGTCCGGGGCCGTCGAGGGAGCAACTGTCGAAGTTGAGTTCAACCTTCCCATGATTAGGGGTCTCCATATGGAGATACGGGAGATGTGTAGAGACCTAACTTCCACAATAACCTGCCAGCTGTTAAGGAAGTCAGCTGTGGAGAAGTTAATGAAGGCTTTGTGGCTTCACGCCCATGACAGTGTCAAGGCCTTGACGCGCTCCAGTAGGACCTTTGTTGCGATATCCCCATCCTCAAAAATTCTTGTGTTTCTTTCACTCCAGATAACCCAAATCAATTCCACCATAAATGCTGACCAAAGAAAAATACCCATTGCTGGGTGTTTGGTATGTGGCCTGTCGAAGCCTTGACATCGTTGTTCACTGTAGTTTTTATGGTTGTTCTTGTTCACAATGGAAATGGACATGAACATTATGACTTGCTGGATTTTTGCGGACTGAGATCCAAAATGAGTTTCTATAGAATCACAAAATCTGGATCATGAGGCCAATATTATACACATGCCGGAGGGGTTTGAGGGTTGTCCTTAGTCAAGGTCGGCGAGATCACCCGTGATCTTTTTTTCACTAGGGCAATAGTGCGTTTGTGACACAGAGAACCCTTTTGGGCATTTGGATCAAGAATTTCCGATGATTTTTAATTGCATGTGTTTTTCCTATGTAAGGAGGCTAGGCTTTCAGAAGACAAGGCAGTCACTCCTATAGCACATGCATCCTCATGCAAGCCTTATGTACTAAATCCCCTCTTAGCCCCCCAACCAAAACCATGATCTCACCAACAGATGCATCCAACTAGAATAGGTGTGTGGAGGCAACTTATTTTGAACAGAAGTCAACTGCAAATCAGCAGGAAATCACATGTTAAGTAGCTAGAGCGCTACTCTAAAGTATAAAATGTCTTGACAAATTCAAATGCTTGTATTCACCAAATGATTTGTTCACAACTTCCTCCCTAAAATCAATCTATCATCTTCAAACCCACCCATCATCCCCACAATAAATATGGGAAATTAGGCAGGAAGCAAACCCTGATCCTCAAGGAATATGAACAAGGGGGTTGTCGGGAGTGAAAATGCAATTTTAGATGATGGGTGGCCACAGGTCTCAACTGTCATGAAATGATAAAAGATACTAGATTCAAAAAGGAAAAACGAAAATTAAAAATAAAATTAAGAAAATCTAAAAAAAATTAAATTTATAATGTTCACATCTATTTCTATAAAATATAGATTTATTGCTTTCACCATATTGCAATTCAGTCCAAAAATAGAGAGCACTGCTCCTACCCTTCCTTAATTGGCCATCTTCCTCACAAGTTATTGAGATACCAGCTTCATCCTTTTCCACAGGTCTTTAAAGCTGGTTCATGCCATAAAATTGGCCCACATTAGCATCTCTCTGCATAAGTACAATACTCCAAAGTCACAACATGCTAAATTGGCCCATACCAAATGATTAAGCAATGCAAAATTATGCTGAAGCTAATTAGAAAAAAAAAAACCAGAGTTTTCATGGCAACTCGCATCACCAAACGTTCATTTTCAGCTTTATTTTGTTTTCTTTTTTTAGCAACCCTTTATGACTCCTTTTTGCAAAGAAATAACATTTAACGAGAAAAGGTAGCACTTGCAAAATGTACCCACATGTCAGTAACCAGATCACCAATAATCTACAAAAGCAATTTCCAAACCATAAAAGAAACGCTGCCTCATAAATTGTAGAAAGGACAAAAGTGTTTGTGGCCAATGTTGTTTGTAGTGACTGTAACAGTCATCCATAATAGGTTGTATAAACCATGTAATAGTCATGCTTAATGGGCTGTAACAGCCATGCAACAATCACATATAACAGGTTCTAACAGCCATATAACAGTCATGTATAATGCGTTGTAAGAGCCATGTAATAATTACACGCTATAACAGCCATATAACAGTCACACATAAGGGGCTATAACAGTCATATATAATGGGCTGTAACAGCCATGTAACAACCACACATAATGGGCTATATCAGCCCTATAACAGTCATGCATAAGGGGTTGTAATAGTCATGTAACAATCATTTTCCCAACAATCTCTAACAACCTCGTTTTTCCAGCAATCTCACATTTCCAACAACCTCACATTTGAAACTAAGGAATTCGTACCCAGAAAATAGAAAAAAAAGCCTTAGGGTTTCTAGTTCAAGAAAGAGAAAATGTCATAAATCAATAAGTTTGTTTCTTATGCTTCACTTTCACCTTCCTTTCATGCATACCTTTGCTATACTTCCTTTGTTCCTATTCCCACCAAAGTTGTGGATGCATTGATTCACCCACAATGGAATAGAGAAAGTGATTGCCTTAGAGAAGTAGCAAGTTGGGATATAATTGATCACCCAGAAGGACATGTCGTTGTATAGAGGTAGGTGTATATCCTAAAATACAAACCAGTAGATCGATCAATTGAAAGTTACAAAGCTTGTCTAGTAGCTAAGGGCTTTACATAGTTATATGTAGTTGACTATAAGGAGACTTTTGCTCATATAGCAAAATTGAAATCAGAATAGGTACTTTTTATCTATTGCAGTAAACAGGAAATGGCCACTCCAGCAATTTGACATGAAGAATGCCTTTCTTCATGGAGAACTGCAAGAGGAAGTGTCTATGGCATTACAACCTGGGTTTTGTTCAATCTGAGTATCAATTGGTGGACAAACATACTTACTAAGGCCTCTATTCAAGTTCGACTAAAGGATACTTTGAACAAGCTGGGAATCTATGATATATATGCTCTAGCTTGAGGCGTAGTGTAGTGACCATAACAGTCATACATAATGAGCTGCCCGTAACAGGCATGTAACATTCACACATAATGGACTGTAACAGCCATATAATAGTCACACATAATGGCTGTAACAGCAATATAATAGTCATGCATAATGGATGTAACAGCCATATAATAGTCATGCACAATGGACTTGGAATAGCGATGTAACAAATACACATAATGGGTTGTAACAGCTATGTAACAGTCACACATAAGGGCCTCTAACTGCCATAAACCAGCCGTGCATAATAGGTTGTAACAGCCACGTAACAATCACACATAATGGATTGTAACAACCATATGAAAGTCATGCATAAGGGGCTGTAATAATCATGTAACAATCATTCATATGGGCTGTAACTCCCCCAGGGATCTGTGCATATATAGTACACATTGCCACACAATTTGTAAGGAGTGAAAAAGAATAGGCTGACTTCTAAATGCTATAAACCAGCTGTGCATAATAGGCTGTAACAGCAATGTAACAATCACACATAATGGACTGTAACAACTATATGATAGTCACGCATAAGGGGCTGTAATAATCATGTAACAATCATACATATGGGTTGGAACTCCCCTATGGATCTGTGTATATATAGGTCACATAGCCACACAATTTGTAATAAGTGAAAAAGAATAGGCTATAACTCCTATTGTAACTCCCATAGGAATCTGTGTATATACAGGGCACATTGCCCATGATTTGCATTGAGTGAAAAAGACATCTATTCGTTATTAGTCATATGCTTGAATATTACACACATTGCCCCACGATTTGTATTGAGTGAAAAAGACATCTATTCTTTCTTAGTCATATGCAGTATTACACACATTGCCCCACGATTTGTATTGAGTGAAAAAGGCATATATTCTTTATTAGTCATATGCTTGAATATTACTTTCTCTCTTTTCTCTCTCAATCTTAACATTGTCAATATGCAATAATGATATTAGATGAACAAGAGAGAAATATTAGTATAACTTCTAACACGCTTAGCACATAATACACTGAAATGATAACAAACACCTAAATATAGGTAGAAAGCCTGAGTCAGAAAGACTCTCGCCATCGCCAAATACTGATACCAAGTACCCATCTAGAGGCCACAACATACTCAAGCCTCATAGAGATAGAAGATCATCATATCCTTGTTAAAATATATAAAGCAAATTGCATCATAAACTAACATGTGTCATCATAACCTTTTAGGCTCATATATATCTTATAAAAAAATCAACATTTTACCCAGATATTCAACATAAAAACATGAGAATGAGATTCAAACAGAATGAGCAATTTTTTCTATCTAAATTATTTCAAGTATACAAATAGTGAAAAATGAACCACAGTTGATGCCCACAAATGACGAGAGCTGAGCAATATTAACGTACCCCGATCTAGCGACACCCATTGTAGCACGAGATTTATCAAGCACCTAAAATTTAAAGAAAAGGACTATGTTGTATCACTTACAGAGCAAAAAAAGCAAGCATGAAGCACATTCGTAATGCAAGAAAGTCTAATGTGAATCTATATTATAGGCAACAATAAGAACATATTTCAAAGTGAGGATAATTTTTAGGCCAAAGGAATGATAGAACTGAGAAAACAAAGTATGCGTCCTTTGAAGAACTAATTGATAGATAAATTCTTATCAAACTAGATCTATTTGCATAACAACATTTACTTATAACAAGTCTCCCCACATCACATATGCTAATTGGAGCAATCTATGGTAATAGTATTAATTATAACATGACTCGTCGATGGATGATGACCAAAGATACTCCAAATGAAACATGCAGAAGGCCTAAGGTGACAAAAGTACTGAAAACAAGATATATACGACATTTTTCAACAAATAGTTTTGTTAAATTCCTTTGTTATCTAAGTTTTGGACCTAAGTGTCCTGATAATATTTGTATTGGCAGTTTTGTCCATATCATAAATTTTAATAAAATATAAGGCTGAGAGATGAATGAGGGCGGGTTGAACCTCACATATTTCTCTTTCCTCTCATGTTTCTCATTTTTCCCTCTTCTCTCTTCTCTCTTCTTCTCTTTCATTTTCTCTGTTCTCTCTATATTCTTTGATATGGCAAAGTTGATCCTTTATGTTTCTTGAATCCTTTCTTTCTTGAATTCGTTATCTTTTCATCTTCCGCTTTCATTTCATCTTCTCTTTTTTTTTTTTGGCCCTTCCCTTAAAAAAAAGAAGAAAAGAAGAGCGGATAAGAGGAAAGAAAAGGAGAGTGGCAAACATGGTAATGCTCAGATGTGTTCAATTTGGTGTTGCCATAATTTGTTCAAGTGTGAGAATTTGACCGATCTGAATTCACCCCTTTTAAGTTGGTTTTACAGTGCCCTACGCTTGTGTGAGTGACTGAAATTGGCCAACCTTTGGTTGTCCTCTCTTTTATGCTGATGGAAAGCAAACCTGGAATCCTTAGTCTTCCTGAAACTGTGGGGATACAAATTACCTCTGTAAAACTAAATGAGTACAATTATGTTTTATGGACTCAATTTGTCTAAGTATCCCTGGGTGCAAGGGAGAAACTGAACTATTTGACTGAGGGCAAGCTTAGTAATTCTGATAGTAAATAAGGAGAGTGGATGAGAGAGAATAACATAATCATGACCTGGTAGTAGTATGGAACCCCAATAAGTGCCAACGTGATAGACTATGGACAATGTGATTTAGCCAAGTATATAAAATTAAACTGTTTCAAATAAACAGAAGAAAAACACAAATTTCTCAAAAACTAAAGAGAGCTAAAGTAGCTGAGGGGAGAGAGAAAGGGGTTAAAAAGGTATCCGCAACAATAGCGAGACCATCTCTCTCTCAAGAGGCTTTACAATACAAATCAACACCAGAGATCTCAGAGATTCTAGGATGAGTCCCTTAACGATAGGAAAAGGAAAAGTTGAGAAATTCATTGTTCAAAAACGTTAAATACTAGAAAGAAAGAAGAGACCCGTAACTGAGGTTCAAGCTTTTTACTAGGAACAACACCCAGATAAAGAAACCATTGCTAACACTCAGATAAAGAAACCATTGCTAACACTCAGATAAAGAAACCACTGCTTGATAGCTGAAACGCTCAGGTCAATGCTACATAGATATAATATAACACAAAGATAAAAGCCAAACAATAAAAATTAAAAATATTACAAGCAATGGACACAACCCCATGCTGAATCTATCAATCACCGTAATTCCCCATACTTGTCTTTTCATTCAAATGGCAAAATAAAGTTGAACAAATTCATCTGTTCATCAACAACTGATGCCATGAGAAACACCCTATATCAGAAAAAGGGAATTTAGAGAGAGAGAAAATTTCTTTTAAGAGGAAGAGCACTGTAAATTATAAGCTTTTGTGATAGAGAGTAAAAGAGGGATCGGTGCGAGGGTGGGTTTGAGAGAGAGAGAGAGAAGAACAGGGATTGTGGTGGAGAGAGTGTGTGTGTGTGGGGTTCTGTCAAAAGCGAAGTACTAGGAGAGAGAAAGCAGAGAGAGAAAAAAACGTACCAGGTTTATGCTTGTGGTTTCCGCTGCCTCTCGCAGGTTTAGGCGCCCTGGTGTTTCAAGCTCGAACTCTGGTGGGCAAAGAAAACCCTCATTATTATCCTCACTAACCCATACACAATTGGTTGAAGGGCCTATATTATATATAATTAATTTTTTTTTCATTTTCTTTAAAAAAAAGCAAGTCGATTTTTTTAACACTATTTTAATATGGGTGTGATTTGTATAGAGCCTAGGCTCTAAACAATCAAATTAGAGCCTATCTTCAAATAACGTCGAGCAATGTGGTTTCAATATTGAAAATCTTTGTGATAGCCTTCAAATGTATTTTCAGATTTGTTTATAAAGTTTAAAGCTTCAAAAATAATGTAGATCTACATATCTATGAAAACTTGAAAATCTTCAAAATTGATGGTTCAAAAATACATTACAAAATACACTATTTTCAAAACTTGAAATCCATTTTTTTCTCATGTCCATGCATCTTGATGTCGAGATGATCAATTTGAAGATATTTGGGCATCAAAACAACCTCTTCTAATGAGATTTTTTAAGTAGGCTCAAATTTGATTGTTTAGGCCTCGGCTCTATATAAACTTTTCCCTTTTAATATTCATTATATTATGGTAAAAATTAAAAAGAAAAATTAGTCATTGATAATCACTTTTATATTTTGTCATCTTTTTTAAAAAAATTTAAAAATACCCTTGGGCAAAAATGGATTTGTTAAAATCCATTTTTCATTAACTTTTAACTTCATTTGAATTTGTAATAATATTTTTTAATGCTTTTGATATTTTAGTAGATTTTTTCTGTATCTTTTTTTTTTTCAACATGTTTTTGATTGTTCGAGACTTGCCCTGTTAGAGCGGTTGAATCGGCCAATTTACCGGTTACGTCGGTTAAATCGCCTCTGGGCCCATGTCTGGTTAACCGTTCCGGTTCGATTTTGCAAACACTGGTCGGCCCTCATGGGTTCACTCAAGTTCGTGCGTCCGTTGCAGACACGGGTTGTTGTGCGGGGAAAACTATGTGTTGAGTAGGAGAGAGAAAGAGAGAGTGGGTTGGGACCCAGTTTAGAAGAGAGGTGGAGTAGATCCGCGCATTCAAGGGTATTTTCTCTCTCTTAAAGTTTTCTCTCTCCTCTCTGTAAGATTAGATACTCAGAAACAAAGAGAATTGAAACAAGCATAATGCCTCTCTTTTATAATTCGTTGAACTCCAGAAAAGGCCCAAGAATTCTCCCCCTTTTACAAGTGAGTTAAGCTTGCTTATATAGAAGATTCACCTAACAGGGGTGAATGCTAAAAAATGAAGCTTAATTACAATTTAAAAATTAATAATTAATCCCTAAATTAGGCACAATGACCAAAATGTCCCTGTGATCTTTTATGCTAATGACAAAGCATCCCTGCATGCAGGTCCTTCTCCATGGCCAGGTCTTGGAAGCTTTTTCTTCAACTTGCAGCGATGGTTTAGTTGTTTCGTGATTATATCTTCAATGTCCTCACGATTGTGAGAATTTTGATGCCCTTTAATCGTGCTGGGGTGGCTTTTTTCCCACGGGTTGGAAATGTGGCCATATTTGTGAACTTTGTTCGCTAATGCCTTTTGAGCTGCGGTTTCTGGCTCTTGGCTCTACTTTCAAGTCAGAGAGGAGACCATTGCAGTCGTTTTGCACCAAGTTTGAGCTGATTTGGTCTTGTTTTGAGCTTTTACCTAATTTGAGAGGTCACTCAAAACAGAGATTCTGACAACCGAGGGGATTTACTTCTTCTGCGACCTGGGGATTTGCATTCATCAGACCTTGGATTGAATGTAAGAGTTATAACAATTTGCAGCTCTTCGTGAGGTGGTTGCATTGAACTCGTTCCCGCGGTGATTCGATGCGTAGATGTGGCGCTGTGCATCAAGGGACTTGAGGCTGCTTCTTCGTGGACCTTGGTTTTTCTAATTTTGCGGGCACCTTCATAGGAGAAGTTTGAGTCTCGATCACGTCATTGTGCATGCCTTGGGTCAAAATGATGGGGATGAGTGATCTAGAATCAAAATCTGAGCTTTCTTCGATTCTTGAGGAAGGTATCATGGGTCCTTGAAGCTGCTCCCAAAATGCAATGTCGAAATCTCCATGCTTGGGAACTGGTTCGGCAAAGCTGCACCACGATGGTGTAAAACTCACCCGTTGTGAGGCCGCATGGGTATAGACCCCTTTTGGGAGGTCCGCTTGTGAGCCCAAATTTGATCCCCAGGGGTTTTTCAACATTTTGAGTGCGATGGTGGTAGTCTGGAATCATTTTGAAGCTGTTAACATAGGGCTGAAGTTGTAAAGTCCTTCTTTGGAGCAATGGCATCGTGCCAAGGTCGTATGGTTTGAGGCTTTATTTTACAGCACAACTTTGGCCTGTTGAAGTCTTGTGTACCTACAGAACTAGGCTGTTGCCAACCCTCTCCTTGTTCGTATGGGCAGTGTAAGCACTTCAAAAATGACATACAACAGTGATTCCCTTTTTGGGGTTTCACCACGTCCTTTATTTTCATTGTCCTTTTTTTTCTTTTTTGTTTTACTTGTGAGGCCTTTTCAGGTTTTCACCATGTCCCCTTTTGTTTTTGTTTTTTTTTTATCTCGTTATGGGTAGTATTTTTTGAGATACATTGCATTAATGGGTTCGTTGAGTTCATATCCCTCATGATTTTTTATTTTATAAGAATGGCCTGCATGTACTTGGGTTACCACGAATGGCCCCTCCCAATTAAATTTGAGTTTGCATAATGGGTGTAGAATTGTAAGAGTGTGGAAGATCTTCTTGACTAAACCTTCTGAATTAGGGCTTTGATAATATCTTTCAGCGTGTAGTAGTCATCTGTGGGGTGGTTGATCCTTCAGTGGTAAGCACAGTAATTCGCTTAATTATCGAGTCCAGCTTGATCGGGGAATTTGGTCTCTGGGAGCTCGATCATGTTCTATTAGAGTAACAGTCGGAGTAATGCAGGGACCCATTCCTTTTCAAAGGGATACACCTTGTTTCTATGCCTGGTCCAATAATCATCTTAATTAAGGTTTGCAGGCGGGGGTACTCATTTGTACGACTGTTGTTGCTTACTTGCCTGAGGTGCTTTCGCTGTATTTACCCCTTTGGAGAGGTCCAAAGTTTGGGAGGGAGCCTTCTTTAAATCGCTGACCATGACGGTTGCGCTAATCACTCCTTTTGGTTGGTTGCCCTGGGTATTAGTCTTAGAGCTATCATTGCCCCGATTGTTCCCTGAGCTTGCTGACTGTTGTCGTGACCCGCCGTGGTAACATGACAGGCTTTCTATGCAGACTGATTTAGAGATTAGCTCTGACATGGAAGTCGGATTGGAGGCCTCAACATGTAGGGCAATCTCAGGTCGCATGTTCTGCACACAGGTTTGAACCACCTCCTTCTCTGGCATGGGATTGGAATGGCGAGTGGCTAAATCTCTCGATATGAATTGATCCACAGGCTCATTGGGATCTTGAGTCAAGGTGAGGAGCTCGATGGTTTGAACTTCTCTCTTAACCTCATAGAAAAGCAGGTGGAACAGTTTTTCCATTTCCTCCCACGTATGTACTGAGTTTGGAGGAAGCCGAGCATACCACTGGAAAGCCGAGTTGTTAAGGATTTCAACAAACCGAAGGAGAAGGAGTCTCCCATCAGTTGTTGTCTCTCAACACGCTGCTTGGAAGTGGGCCATAGGCTGTTTGGGGGATATGGTTCCGCTGAACAGGGGAAACTTTCCTTTGTAGCCTGAGGGAAATGGAATATGACCAATGTAAGAGGGGTATGGCTTTTGGTAAAGCATTGCTCCCTACATACACAGGATCTGCCGGTTCTTTAAACTATGGGTGACCATAGCATTAATATCTGCCTGTGAGACAGGGTGAGGGACAAAATTATCTTGTGAGGAAGAGGGAAGGGGCTGCCTTGGAGGTGCATCATCTGAGCGATGGGAATTGACCTCATGGTTAGCCGATTGTTATGAAGCATCTATGTGATAAATCTTCTCCATCATCGCGCGCACCATGTCTTAAAATTTATTCATGCGCTCTTCCTGAGATTACGTCGATTGTTTCCTCAGGGAGTTCCGCGTTAGTTGCAGTTGAGGGCTTGCGAACTTGACGAGTCGCACGCGCCAGATCGGTTAGCAGGGGGTCAGCATGCCCCGATTGGACTCAAGTCTTGTATGCCGATCGCATGAGGGTCGTTTCTCGAAGGTCTTGGACCGTGGCAACTGAGTGGCGGTGTCATCTTCTATGACACTAACCACAGTGCAGAGTTCATGCCCTCCATCTTCAAGCTTTGTCATCTGAAGAGGGTAGAAGGGGCTCAGACAAGTGGCCGGGTCATCTTTTGTGACACTAACCACAGTGCAGAGTTCATGGCCTCCTTCTTTAGGCTTTGTCATCTGAAAAGGGTAGAAGGGGTTCAGATGAGCCAGTTGCCCCAACCGTTTGGTTGCTTCCCTAGTCAAAATTTGCAGAACCCTATCATATTTGGCTTTGAGATTTTGATGGACCTCACGCCAGAACTACCATCGAGACTGCGGCTGGTCCACTCTTCTTGCACAAGCGAGAGTTTTCTCCATCAGGTGCGGCAAAGGATGAGGGCCAGGAATCGGAGGTTTCCTAGGCCGGGTAGGATGAAGGATTTGATCTGCCATCAGGTCTTTGCCTCGAGTTCTCCAATGGGCACCAGAGACATGATCGAGATGACCCTACTTTCATCTCGACAACTATGTCGTCAGAAGAGAAAGAGAATTGTACTGCCTTCTTGTGAGCAAATCGAGACGTCTTTGCCTGGCAATACCACAAGATGCCTGGTTTAGATCCTCAAGTCGCAGTCCACCATCTTGGCATCAATCCATCCATCAAACCTGTCAAGCAGAAATCAATGAGGTTCAGGCCTGACCTCGAAATGCAGATAGATGCTGAAGTGACCATGCTCAGGCAAGCTAGTTCATTCAATAAGTCAAGTACCCAAAGTGGCTGGCAAATATTGTTATTGTCAAGAAGAAGAACGGCCAAATTAGGGTATGTATTTACTTCTGCGACCTAAATACCGCTTGCCCGAAAGATGA